AAGGGACACGGGAATTGCACAATATTAGCAAGCAGCAGGACAACAACAAAAGGCTTCTTCTTACAATAACTTCCCAATTGAAGGAAGTATGGATATGAAACTTACATCAACGAATAGGGGAACATTTGCCCTTTCAGTAGCCACAACGACTGCCAGATTTGGACAATTCTTAGGTCTTTTATGTTGCAACAGAGAGAGCAATCATTTCGCGGGAAGGAATCTGTAAAGGAAAGAGGCAATGGAAAAGCACAAAATTAGCAAGTAGTTTGACAAGAACGTATGCCTTCTTCTGCATATACTTTCCTAAGTAAAACAAATATGGATATGAAACTTACATCAATATATAGAGGACCAATCATCGTTTCAAATGTCACCAAGATTGCCTGATTTGGACAATTTTCAGTTCTTTTATGCTTCAACATAGAGAGCCATCATTGCATGGGAAGGGACAAAGGAATTGCACAAAATTAGCAAGCAGGAGGACAACAACCAAAGCATTCTTCTTACGATAATTTCCCGAGTGAACCAAGTATGGATATGAAACTTACATAAATGAATAGGGGAACATTGGCCCTTTCAGTAGCCACAAAGTCTGCAAGATTTGGACAATTTTCAGGTCTTTTATGTTGCAACAGAGAGAGCCATCATTGCTCAGGAAGGAACCTGTAATGGAAAGAGGCAATGGAATAGCACAAAATTAACAAGTAGTTCGACAAGAACGTATGCCTTTTTCTGCATATAATTTCCTAAGTAAACAAAATATAGATATGAAACTTACATCAATATNTGAGTAAAAGAAATGTGGATATGAAACTTATATCAATATATAGAGGACCAATCAACCTTTCAGATGCCACCAAGATTGCCTGATTTGGACAACTTTCAGGTCTTTTATGCTGCAACATAGAGAACCATCATTGCGCAGGAAGGGACACAGGAATTGCACAAAATTAGCAAACAGCAGGACAACAACCAAAGCCTTCTTCTTACGATAATTTCCAAACTAATGCATATATGGATATGAAACTAACATCAATATAAAGAGGACCAATCTACCTATCAGATGCCACCTGGATTGCCTGATTTGGACAATTTTCAGGCCTTTTATGCTTCAACATAGAGAGCCATCATTGCGCGGGAAAGCACATGGGAATTGCACAAAATTAGCAAACACGAGGACAACAACCAAAGCCTTCTTCTTACGATAATTTCCCACTAAAGGAAATATGGATATGAAACTTACATCAATGAATAGGGAAACATTTGCCCTTTAAGTAGCCGCAAAAACTGCCAGATGTGAACAATTTTCAGGTCCTTTGTGCTGCAACAGAGAGAGCCATCATTTCGCAGGAAGGAACCTGTAATGGAAAGAGGCAATGGAATAACACAAAATTAGCAAGTAGTTCAACAAGAACGTATGCCTTTTTATGCATATAGTTTCCTAAGTAAAACAAATATGGATATGAAACTTACATCCATATATAGAGGACCAACCACCCTTTCAGATGCCACCAAGATTGCCCGATTTGGACAATTTTCAGGTCTTTTATGCTGCAACATAGAGAGCCCTCATTGCGCAGGAAAGGACACGGGAATTGGACAAAATTAGCAAGCAGCAGGACAACAAGCAAAGCCTTCTTCTTACGATAACTTCCCAATTGAATGAAGTATGGATATGAAACTTACATCAATAAATAGGGGAACATGTGCCCTTTCAGTAGCCACAATGACTGCCAGACTTGGACATATCTTCGGTCTTTTATGTTGCAACAGAGAGAGCCATCAGTGCGCGGGAAGGAATCTGTAATGGAAAGAGGCAATGGAATAGCACAAACATAGTAAGTATTTTAACACGAACGTAAGCCTTCTTCTGCATATAATTTCCTAAGTAAAATAAATATGGATATGAAACTTACATCAATATAAAGAGGACAAATCTACCTTCCAGATGCCACCAAGATTGCCTGATTTGGAAAATTTTCAGGTCTTTTATGCTTCAACATAGAGAGCTATCATTCCTCGGGAAGGGACTCGGGAATTGCACAAAATTAGCAAGCAGCAGTACAACAACCAAAGCCTTCTTCTTACCATAACTTCCCAATTGAAGGAAGTATGGATATGAAACTTACATCAATAAATAGGGGAACATTTGCCCTTTCAGATGCCACAACGAC